GTCTAGCCGGCACTCAATACATGAGCTTTGCTTAATGAATTCATGCGTTTCTTGAGCATGTTTACCAACACAGGGTCTACCACTTTGCCAGGGAGCTGGCTCATCCTTGGGTAGAACCCACTCCATGGCTAAGAAACACTTGATATCTGACAATGGTATACAAAACACTCAGCAAGAATGGGGAGGAATAGGGCAAAAGATCCATAGTCCTCAAGGGAGCTAAAGACCTTTCAGCCACACTCTATGGCAGGACTTTTCAATGGGGTTCCTTGGAATGCTGGTCCTATAGTTTCTTGAAGAAAAAGGATTTGATTCAAGATATCAAATAAATTTAGGAAACAATGCATAACATAGCCTACCCAAGAAGTTGATGTATATTTAACTTTTAAGGCTCTGAGAAGTCCTGCTGGAAATACCCAATTTCTCCATTAAACGTGGCATTTCCTAAACTTATTTGACCAATGAATCCATTTCCTACTTCACACCCATGAATATCTTGAGGATCTTGTATTCTAGGAAACATTTTGAGAAACAATGACCTATAGGACTTCTAAATACTAATTTGTAAAACAAGTATTTAATTCATTTTAGTTTCTGAAACCTTAAACTTCAAAACAACTTGGTTGATGGGGGAAAGCAATGCTTTGAAATCAAACGAACACAACAAAACCAGGGTGAAGTGGGTGGTATCTCTTGCTTACAAGAACTCTGCAAGATAAATTTTAATTTTAACCCCATTTTACAAATAAGCAAAGTGAGGTGGAGAACCTCCATCTTGTAAGGAAAATCTAATAAACATGTGTCTCCAAACCGGGGAAGAGAACGCAGTCAGCAAACATCCTCCCACCTGCCCCAGAGCCAAGGAGGACCTCTGGCAGGCAATCTCTCCAGTGATGGCATAGAAGTAGATCCCAACAAGCCCCTTTCTCCTATCTCCATGTAAAAAGGTAAGTCTGTGAGCCCTGGGGGAAGACTCTAGTCATAGAAAACATTTACAAGATGCTGACTGCTGAGCATTATGAACACTCTAAAAAGAAGCATTTAATGGGAGCTTAAAGTTTCTAAGAACTACAAGTATTAATTCTGGTGGTTTCTGCCTCATTTATCTATGTTCCACATAAGCTCTATGACCAAAAGAGACCTTTCAGAAAGCCCATTATAAATGCAACTGCTTGAAGCAGGAGCTACTCAGGCTCTGTCCCCATGCTTAGCAGGCTGGCCAGAAGTAAGCACAGGTACATTATAAATCCAACAGGCCCAGGAAGAGCTGGATGTTACTGCTTTCCAAGGAAAAATAACATATATAGGGAGTACACCAGCCTCTGCAAAGAAAACCCCCTTTTGTGGCTGTATCAATTTTGCTTTACTGTCATCAACACTAAAAAGATCCTGACAGTAATTCTCTCCATGAATGACAGTTCAGACTTAGAGCTTTTCAAAAAGGTAAGAATAAAGATTCCTGCAGATGAAGAATTCCTCAGACTGATGTACTGTAACAGTCACAAGTGCAAATAACAGAATGCATTCTCCATGCAATACATAACAGATTCATATTTACCACTCATTATATTCCCTAAAACAGAAATACTTACATCAAGAAAAAACATGGCATAGATAGCCTATGTTACCTGTATTTGGTTAGAATTAGTCCTATACCCCAACATAAATTTTAAAGACATAATACAATCACAGCATTCAAACATAAGTCAAATAAACATCCAAGATTTACTCCTTTTGGAAAGCAGTTAACATATAAATTTTAAATGGCTTCCAACACTTGAGCCTGCTGTCTCCACCTGAGTATACCACTATTTCTTTGTCGTTCCATATCATCACATATCACCTCACCAGGGCCATTTCACAGACATAATGTTAGGTTCCAAGTTTAAAATTATACATACTTTGCACCTTTAAAACTCTACGATTCTGTCTTTTGACAGATGAGAATCCTAATACCTCTAAGAGATTCATTAGTGATTGTGACCAGTGGCAGAAACAGGAAGAGAACTACCCCTCCCCTCTCCAAGTAGGCTTTTCCTGGTGGATGTTTTCCAATCCTTATCATAAAGTACTTTAAACACAAAACTAAATACTCGGCTGGTCCCTAATGGGTCTCCAAATGCCAAAAGATAAAGATGAATGAAAGAGCTTGTGTATTTAGGAATCTTTTGACATCAAAACTAGAATGAGACTGCAACTGCTTGCCCACTGAGAGGACACAAGGGTCAAATTCAAAAGGGCTGCTGGAGGCTTGGGCTTGCAGACACCACCCCAGCTCATGACTATCTCTGTATGTGCAGGTGCAAGCTTTATGAGCACCTGAGAGAAGACAGTCCCATTCATACTCCAGTAGCTGGCACTTATAAAATGGTATGGCTATTTCTTCTTTTCCAGACTGACCCATAGGTCAAAGGATTTTACACATGGTCTAAAATGAAAGACATGTGTGAAACACCCAGCCCTCCAGAGAGGCATCTTACTACAACTACCAGCAAGACTGGTTGTCAACTGGACAGAACTGCTCTGTTAACGACACAGAGAGGCTCTGGTGCAGGGCCATGTGACATTCTACTAGTAAGCCAAGCAGTTAGTCCAGAGAAATACTTAAAAATAGCCAAACCAAGAAAGTCATTTCCAACTTGTGGGAAGCTGAGGCACTTAATTTGAGAGAAGTGAGATGTGAGATTCTGACCTCAAGCCTATTGTGTGAATTTAGGAGAGTCTTCAATAGTGACAACCACAAGTTAAGTAAAAAATACACTTCAGGCCACATATGCTCCTGGCTGTTTAGAGGAACAATTCATTCCAAGGCAAAATGGAAATTCTAAACCCAGAAACCAGACTCCGTCACAGCTCCCCACTGTCCTTAGGATGCTACTTCCCTTCGGTACGACCACAGAGCTTCTGGGAAAATTTGGTGACTCTTTATCTTTAACTGAAAAATAAACTCCCCCAAAATGTTCTGAGGAAAAGATGACCCTACGGTTCCATTAGAGTATAATAAGGAAATGCATTATCCCCAAGGTAGTAACTTATTTAAATCTCCTTTCAAAGATTTTTGTACAATCTTTGAGAATTACATATACACAAGAAAGGTCTGCTATTCAACTAAAAGGGAAACAAAACTACACTTGAGAAACTCGACAAAAATTGATAGTACATTTCCTTCTAAACTCATTCTTTCCAACAAACTAGAAAGTGGCCTCCTTACAATTACACTCAAATTAAAACTTGTTTCTTAAAGGAAGACAAACGATTTATTCTTCTAAAAGCAAAATAATCTAAATTTCTAAAGTCAAATCTCCACCAGTCTCAGTTCTGATATTACACTGAACTGGCTGTCATGGAAGTACTGTCACCCTAATTAGCTTCCATTACAGTCTTTTTTACCATCTCAAGGGCTATTAAATAACAGAAAACAGACGTCTGAGTTCCATTAGGGGTCTGTGTATGCCTGGGAAGGCTGAGAAGCTTTAGCATTACAACCCTCTTGACATTCTCCTTTCTACATCTATCCATGAGCTGGAGGGAGCTCACCATAGGAGACCCTTGTAATTCCTTCACCATGGCAGAGAGTTAAACAAGGCTCAAGGCTCAAGTTTTTTGGCTTTGAATTCCATTTCTCTTTCACATTACTTGAAGGGTGCAAGCAGCTTGCTGAGACAGAAAGGAGCTGAGGCACAGAACAGAGCCCATTACAGGGGGGTGTCTGGGGTGCAAACCCATTGGCAGAAGATCCCAGTGTTCATCTTACTTCTTGAGGAGAGAGTTTCAAGGCAAACTTGTCTATTATCTGCTATTGTGGCTCTGGTTCAGAGCATTTCCCATTTTTTTACCATCTAGAGAAACTTAGGAGCTACTGTGGTTCAAGCCGTTTAAGAAATATGGATTCCAGCTGTGTGACCCTGCGTAAACTACTTAACCTCTCTGGACTCCCTGCTTGCTCATGTCAGTATACCTAATTGCACTGTACATATTTCAGCTCAGTGTAGTTTTTAAAGCACTTTTGTGTACTTTAGTTCATTTAATTCTTACAATAACCATGTGAAGTTAACAGGCTATTATCCTCATTTTATAAAACTGTAAATTGAGACTCATACTAAACAACACACCCACAATGGTAGCTGGAAAGTGGTGGAAGTGGGACTGAACCCTTAACTCCTGATTCTAATCAAATGTTTTCCTTGCCAAATCACACTCACTGCCTGATCTTTCTGGTTCCAACAGCACTAAAATACCACAATTTAATAAAAAAATCTCTGTCATCACTCATAAGCCATCTCACAATGTTTGAAACCTGACATCATTTATAAGTTGGAGAACAAGGAGCTCTCTCATATAAAAACTTGTGTTTTCAGCTTAATTCTTTTTTTTTTTAATATGTGTAGATCCTGAGTGCTAACTAATAAAGATGCTTAGTATTACAGTGAAGAATAATCTAACAGATCTTGCTTCTGGTGGAAATACTCAGTCCAGAAATGCACATTCTACAGTTTAAGGAGAAGTACCTGTAAATAGTTACTTTACTGGAAAAAAAGGACACTGTAACACCAAAGACTGACAAAGGCAGCACTGGACCTGAGAGTCTCTCTAAGGAAATCCTTTGGCTGGGGTTCTTAATCTTGAAGTATGACCTAAGCTTCCCCTTCCTCCCCTTCTCTCTATTCCCCTCCATTCATCCATCAAGTAGGGGGACCTGTGTCACAGGTCAGCAAGAATGACAGGATACAAAGAAGAATGAACTCTCTGAATGTGTGTGTGTTCTTTTTACTGGCAGTAAAATTTCTGAACTGTCACCAAACTATGGGGAGAGGTAACTGACAGCCCTATTTGGTTTGCAGGTACAACTTTGAGATGAACTGGCTGGGAGCGACATTACTGGGTACCGCTGCTCCATGGCTCTCAATGTGGAGCAAAGTTCAAAGTAAAGAGAAAAAGGCTTCTGTTGCTCCCCCATCATCCCCGACTTGTTATTTGTATGCACAGCATTGGGCACTGACCTGCTTTGCCCACTTCCCCTTTCCTCAGTGATCCTTCAGCCTGGCACCCAGCTCTGAGATGAGGCTTGCTTAGCACCAGTGAAGTTCCCCACGTTCAAACCAACAACGTTCTGTGTAGAGATAAGGGAATCAAAGTTAAAATCCAACCCATCAGCATCCATGAGTTCACTACGGATAATGGACTCCATGTCACATTCCAAGCTCCCATTGAACATGTCCAGGTCCAAGTCGCTGGGGAACTTCTCATGGCCCATGACAGGAAGGTTTGCACTAGTTGAGTACAAGGAGGAGCCTGAGAGAGAGTCCGAGAGGGTTTGCATAGACTGGCTGACAGGAGACTGCTGCTGGTGTTTGGCTGACCCAAGGCTGCTGGAGTCACTCAAGCCCATGTTGCTGACAGAATTTGACAAGGCACGGCTGCCACCGAGAGCTCCCTGGGTTTGGTGCTGGTGGTGGAGCAAGTTCTGATTGACCAAACTCCCCTGATTAGGCTGGGCAGCAAAGGACATCATTGGGTCACTGCGAAGCATCACGTTCCGGCGGGAGTTCTGGGCAGACACAGCAGTGCTGGCCTGAGACATCAAGGGGTCCGACTGGGTCATCATGACATCGCTGTGGCTGAGTGAGTCTGAAGTAAGCAGGTCCTGGAGTGTCTGGTTGCCATAGTGTGACATGGAAGAGAAGGTGGCTGGCTTATTCTCTTGGATAGTCTGCATGGGAGACTGGCGCAGGGAGTTCAGAGATGAGGGTCCAAACACTGTGCTGTTAAAGGAGCTGGTTGGAGAGCCCAGACCAGAGCCCTTGGTGGTGTACGGGAAGCTAGAGCTCCGCTGCATGAGCCCCGCAGTGGGCGAAGGCTGGGACGATGGGAGGGTGATGTTATCCAGCAAGTCGTCCATGAGGTTGTCAGCCAGCCCATCATTCAGATTCATGGTGCCTGCCATGTCGGTCAGCCGTGGCAGCTCCACGGTGCATGGCTTGCTGACTGAGGGCGACAGGCTGGCTGAGCTGCTGTAGAGCATGGGGGAGAGCGGTGCATCGTCGTCCTGGACATCATCCAACTCTGTGCTTGCCAGGATGGGTGACAGACGGCCACTGACTGTGCTGGCATTGGAATTTGTACGCGAACGAAAGTCCGTCCACGCATCCAGCTCATCACTGCTGCGTGACGTGGGGCTGCCAGGCCACTTTGACAGCTGGGAAGGACTGTCATCAGCTGACTCTGGGGCTGTCTGCAAGGCTGCCTTCTTCTTGGTTGCGCGGCCCCGGCTCTTGGTATACTTGTTGCTGTTGTCCATGGAGACAGCCCGTCGTCGGGGTGCCTTCCCACTCTTCCCCCCATCAGGGTTGATGATCCACCAAGAGCTCTTGCCAGTCCCCTCATTCTGGACCCGCATGAATCGACTGTGCAATGACAGGTTGTGTCGAATAGAATTCTGCAGAGAAAAGGGAAAATGCAGAACATGAGCCAGAATGGTCCAAAACTGAGCACTCAGAAGAAATACTTAACTGGACGACTCATTCTGAAAAGCCTCCTCAATTTCAAAGGCTAAAAGAAAAAAGAAATGAATTAAAAAAAGTCAAACACCTGCATGACCCTCCTTGACTTGCAATAAAACAATAACATGTTAAATGTCAGGTTTCGTACTGAGGAGGTGGGGAGATGGTTTCATATCCAGGAAAAGTGTATAAGCTCACTGACATTGTTTTTCCCAAATTCCTAAGTTTTATTATCTTTTCTGTAATTACATTTCCTACACTGAATTTCACACTTGCCATCTATTACCACACCACTCCCTCCCCCTTACTTTGCAACAAACCTCCCTTGCTCTCTGAGGGGCTATTTTATTCTCTCATGGTCCCCTCCCCCACTAGTACAGAGTTTATTCTCTTATGGTCCCCTCCCCCACTAGTATAGAGGCAGCATCTACCTTTTCTTTTTTTTTTTTTTTTTTCCTTTTTGTCTTTTTTCGTGTCCGGCAACTTATCGCAACCCCCGGTGTTTTGCCCCCCCCCCGCTCCGCCCGGG